ACTAATGCCAAAAGAGATCATCATTTTTTTACCCCGTATTACCGAAACGCCATGCCGCCGCCTCCTAATCCCAATAGATTGTTAATGATCGATCCAGCAAGGAGGCGTTTCGATGTACGGCAAAATGAAGACCCTTGTCATTGTCGATCGAGATCAATGGAAGATGTGCGAATGGATGTTGTGACGACGGAATGGGAAGACGATGTTAATGGAAACAGAATTCCATTACGAAATGAGAAATTTAACAAATATACGAATCGAAGATCCATGGATAATCTCCTAGTGGACACCAATTTTTCACCACCGACGAAGCGAGCAGGAAGGCTGCAGGTTATTTTCTCTTTTTTCTTTGGCGGCGACTTTCTACAAATCAGTTCTGTTAAACTTGCTTAATGAATAAATGTTCCAAAATTGGCTATTTTACGCTCCAGTTAGTACCCATAATAAATACGTTAACACACTTTGCTAATTCTAATTGTAGAAAAAGGATTAAAACTCGGTTAATCAAGATCACACTCCGCTAAAGCTTTTTATTTTCAAAACCATAAATTATGATATTGCTAGTCATGAAATAAATTGAAACTTTTAGTTATTACTTTCAGTATAGCTCGATAGGCAAATGTATATCATTATGATAGTGCAACTAAATACAAAAAAAATGCAGTTGTTGAATGATTTCAGTATCATCAGTGTGCAACATCATACAGTTCTTATCGTTCTCAAATAATTTCGTCAGTATGTGTTAAAATGATTACAACTACAATAAAATACATTGTTTACTAATACTAACACTGACAGTGAAAATTGTTCTTGAGGATATTCATCAAGGTAGTTTTTTTTATTAGCATATTCGATAATAATTATGCGGAAAAATATAAATGACTTTGAACTTTCATTTTTAATTCGTTATCGCCCATTATAAGAACTTCCATATTCTCACGATAGTTCCAACTCTCTCTAATAAATATTTCAGTTAACAAATAACTGAATGAAAGGGAAATCAAACAATAGTTAAAATTAAATATGATCTTAGAAGCAACGCGTCATACTTGTGCGGGTTTGGTTGTTCTGTAAGTGGAAAAGGTGCTTTAAATTTAATGCAAGAATAACTTTGCTAATTTGACCTTTTGACCGAATCTTCATCATACTTGGTATTTATTATTCGTGTTTTCCGACTGCACGATACTTTCGCCTTCAATTGAGACTTTCGCTTTTTCAAAACAGCCAAATAATTAAGCGCAAAACATTGCGTATGATGAATTATTTGAATCTTGGCAGATTTAGGTACTAGTTTTCGTAAACTAAATTTCGCTACTTTGATCGCTTGGTTAAAAATGTTTTGTTAAATAGCCGAATTTTTTTGTTTTATTTTGAGTGAATGAAATTAATTAGGGGAAATAGTGAATTGATATCTTGATGAAGATAAAAAATTAAGTTGTGATGGAAGTGAAAGTAACAATAATTTTTAAAGTGGTGAATTCATTAAATCGTAGATAATATCACTCAAATTATTTTATTTCCTAAAGTCGTATCAGTGGGCGTGTGATGTAGTCTGCATTATTTATCACTTTCTTTAAAATAAAAGTATATGTAAAAATTCTTTTATTGTTTTTTTTTTTTTTTTGATAATTATTCCAACGAATTTTAACGAATTTTTTCTTTGTGTAAAAAGTCGTTCACCAATAACAAAAAACGATACGAATAATAATTTAACAGTTTTATTACTACGAAATTAATTAATTACCTCTGCACCTTCTGATAGATGCTTGCAATTTCACTTATAATTTGTGATAGATTGTGTTTTAGATACTGGGTGACGATTTAAACGACAAAAAGCTATTATAAAAATAATAATCAATTTTGCTGCTTTCTTAAGAAAACTTCCTTGTTCTAACTCAAATAAAAAGGAAATTGAAATTAAAAAAATGCAATGTTCATCTTAATTACACTTTGCTTGATACACAACCTAAAACTTAAAGAATTCCTAGTACTTCTTGTAGAATGTTTATAAAAATATGAACTTGTAAAATTGACCTGCCAATAATAAATAATAAATAACGGTTATCCTCACAACACCGAAAAACACACAAATATTTTTTCGCCAACCACGCCTAGACAAAGCTAAACTTGCGTGTTTTCGGTGTTGTGGGAATAAACGTTATATTAAATATTATAGCGCACCGAATGATAAAAAAAACTCCTGACTTGCCAATGATTAAATGTTCCTGGTAAACCTCAATTGTGTAGCTTAAATTTTCAGTAAGTTATTTTGATTAACAGTAACACAAAACTGTTAATAAAAGTTAAACAAGTTTATTATAAACAAATCAAATTATTTTTAATCAAAGAATATACTAGTATATGATACTACGATACGTCTGTATTCAGTATTACAAAGTACTCTGTATCATTGAAGACTTGTTTGACTAATTGTTGCAAAACGTCAATAAAAAACATAGATCGCGTCTTTAAAATAGCTCAAAGATACTTCGATTTTCAAAAAAAATTAAATAATGTTTTTTCTATTAAACAAAATATATACTGGGACATTTTTTTAGTTCTGAACAAACCCCATGCCAAGTTTCTGTGTTCAATTTTAAAAAACACAGGTCAATGGAAAGTATGCAATCAATGTTGATTTAAAATCTACGTTCAGAGCTAAAAAAAAGCATGCGTTAGTTGAGTATTGCAATAGAGTCTATCCGGTGAACGACTAATTTCATGTTTTCTCTGTTTCTTAGTTCCTAGAATGTGGAAAAGTAGTTCTTCCGTTTCCGCATATGTGTCAGCTGTGGGAGATTTTATCATACAAGTAATAACCGAAACTTACTACTGGATCGGTTACTGTGAAATTTTAGATTTCTTTAAGTATATCATGTAGTAAATATCATGCATAATATGCAAAATAGTATATAGAATTCTAATTTTTTAATCTGCCCTTATTTTTAGTATATGCATGCAGATTAAAAAAAAAATTACAATCGAACTTAGAGACAATAAAACGGATGACGTTGATATTATCCATATTAAAAATTTAATCTGCATACCAAATTTCACTACATCAATGTAGTGTGATTTGTTAAATAAAATTGTAAATCAGGAATCAGAATTCATCTCTTCATTACCTTCAAAAAACTCAAACTTATGTATGGTAACCTTGCTTGAAATTTTTAGAATAACATGGTCCTTTATCCCTATTTTTAATGACAAGTATGCGACTTATAAAAATCAAATTTATCAAAATAAACCGTCTTTGATTCTGCAAAAAGAACCTTTTTGAAACGTATAGAATTTATTAATACATATTTCATGATTAAAGAAGATGGATTTAAATGAATTATTGATATCCCCAAAAGAAGAAAGAAATTTACGAACATAAAAAAACATTCAGCAGAATATATTTGAACAAAATTTTAACTTCACTAAACTTTTCACATATAAATTGACTAATATTAATATATTAATAAAATTAATATCCCAGAAGTCAATAAAAATAATAACGTACAAAATTAAACGCTATTCCCCGCCTGTTAAAATGTTGATTGATTTAAAGTTACCATGAATTATTTTTTTATTAGCCAAGCTTTTAAAAAGCAACGGAACATTTTTCTGATTTTGTAGGTTTTTTATATCATTTTTTTAATACGTAGTTTTATTAGGTTCACTATTTAATAGTAGTCAATTATTTCCAATTTTTCTTTAAAAAAATAATGTGTTCACTAGAGCGACTTAAGTAAAATTTGGTAAAATGTTGCATTCGGTTATTCGGAAAGGTTAATACTAATCGAAATAATTTCATCACGTTCAAAAATGTATGCTTCATTATGTTTCACAAAATTAACGCAGTCTCACGTATGAAGTGAACAAAGCACAGAAAATGTTTTAAGAGAATATTATTTTACAAAATCAAATAAAGTGTATCATGAATGTTAATAATAAATATTGAACTCTATTTTTTTTTCTCAATTAGGTGTATAGTAAAATAAAAATTCACATAAATTAAAAAAAAATGTTAGGTTTTTTTTTTTAATTATAGTGTTTTCTCTTAGATATCTCATATCTGACACCCTGTGTACAAACATTTCAAAAATAATTGTATTACAAATTTTATACATATATCAGACATATTTTATTATTTCCAACAAAAGACTCTTAACACCGCAAATAAAATAATAATAAATACTCCTAATAGACTTGTAATTAATGTAGTTGGTCAAGAGTTAAATCAGATATTGTCGCTAATGGACATTTATATGCAAATAGAGAAATCACTTCTAAGTATAATGAATTCTCAGCCACAGAAACTTATTTAATTGCACTACTTTATTTACCGTTACTGTACCGAATTCATGATGTCGCATAAATCTTTCTTTCTAGCATAAATCGGAAGTAAGTGGTGAGGCTCAGACGGGTCAGTTATTAATCGCGTTGATTCATTTCAATAGGATTTCCTAAATAAAGAGAAAGCGTCAGATCTAGCGTATATTTAAAAGAAATCTAATGTACGATTGAATGAGTACCGATTTCCATGTTTTCCTTTTTTGTTATGTATACGTACTGTCTTTTACTACTTTTATCTGAACACACACCATAGTTGTGACACATTAAAAGAAAAAAATTTTGAACCAAATTTTTGTAGTTTTCTTTTTATGTACTGCCCTGTGGTCATGATAATAAAAACTGAAGCTTTCAAAAACAATTTCTTTCCCCTAGGAAAACTAGTTGTTTGTATTTGACTATGCAGTCACTTAATAAATAGTCGGTATTTTATTCAAACTAATTTATCGCTACTCTTAAACGTAAAAAATTATTTAAATTACTACTACTACGAGTATAAACTAATCACTATTATTGGTTGAAATAATTATTTTAATTGCATTCTTTGCAGAAAGATTTGTAACTGTATCTTGTACAGTTAAAACATTTAATTAAGTAATATTACATCGGCACGGTGCATTTAAGTCTGCAATTATTAATAAGCTGAATTTCTTTTTTTACAGCCTGACCCAAGAAATCAAGAACAGGACAACAACGACAGCGGTGGTACTAGGCCTAAGTTTGTCGCTGTTACCTCCTTAGAAGATGTTCAAGCTGTGCGGTGTGCAGAATTCCACCCTGGTGGACAACTGTATGCAGTGGGATCAAACTCGAAAACTTTACGAATATGTGCTTACCCTAAACTTGGTGACCTCAGGTATGTTGTTGTAGCATAATTTTTGTAATAGTAGCAATTCCTATAGAGTGCGACTAATGATAATGAGGAACGAATTAATTAAATTTCTTAATCACCTTTTGCGATCTTTGTATGCTATAATTAATGTTAAGATGTAATCATTTAATGCAATCTCAAATAAAAAAAAAAAGTAACTGCATATGTTTTCACACGTCTTACAAGCTGGTTTTTACATAGTGGACACATCTTTGCTTAATTTACATTACCATATTAGGATCAGATATAACAGATAATAATCTAAACGAACGTGGATTTTTTTCTAAAGTAGCAATTATCTGTTAAATTATGGTAATCATCGGGTAAATATGGTAATCACACAGTGCAGTGTCACAAAAACATACATTCAAGTGTAATGAACACATTGTAATAACTTTGCGGAACAGCTTCCAGGTTCTCATAAGCATAAGTGAAATTGTTTCAAACATTTGTAACTAGTCATTAATGCCACATGCTGACCACTGAGTGCATAACTCTGTATGAACGAAATTGGAATCTGTCTCTTAATTCTGTTCCTTCACTTGTTTGCAACGTTTCTAGTTTTTGAGTTGTGGCGTCTTCTACTTTTTAAAACGATAGATTGTTGTTTACATTTTTTCACTGTAATTTAGAGGTTCTTTTCCTTGAACTTAAAAGTTTATCTTTCATATTTCTAGATATTTACATTGTACTTGACATTAATAAAAATATCTCAAACTGTAATTAAAAATTAACGAATTAACGCAAATAAAAATATTAATTTTAATGTTTTCGAATTCCTAGAATACATTATTTTTTAAGATTAGAATAAATTGGTCATCTCTTTTTTAAATTTATAGATAAATAACTGGGAATAATAACCGTGTTTACATTATTTTTCGATAACCAGTTTCTCCTCCGTATAAAATGTACAATACTTTAATAAACACTGAAAATCTGTTATAAAAAAATGGATTCATATCCACTCATATTATACCAGTTATGAAGTTATAACCTTTCTCATGCCGTATCTAGCTACGTTAAGCATGCATATGCATAAATGGAGGGTGGTGGAGGATCATAAGTATTTAATTTCTGCTTTAATTTTAATAAAACGTTTATTTGAACAGTTATTACTGGTGTAACGTTGGGCTTTATTTTGGTATTGCTGAATTGACAGCACTCTAAAATTAGAACTAACTGTGATCAAAAAGAAGGATGAACAGTCAAAAGTTTATAACTTTTCTTTAAGTTTAGTTGTTAAAAAATATCTTATTTAAGTGTATTTTGTAAAAGTTGAATTTCTATCGAAAGTGTTAATAAGGCCATTGTTGCATCATAAAATCTCAAACATCAAATTTACTATTTACTCCGAGTTTTAGTTCAAGTCGTTAATAATAGTAGAGCTATTGAACTGATTGTTATCAAAATTTATTTGTATTTGATGACGTCCTCTAAAAATTATGCATAGGAATTATATAAAATAACATGCTTCTAAACTTGTGGTTTATGAATCAGGGTCTATTTTTAACTTATAGGGGCTATTAAAAAATAGCAAAATAAAATTTGTTGCATTTTTCGAAAAAAGTGTATTTGCTGGACTCGCATATTGTGAATGTGTGTTAAAAGTTCGTAGAAAATGAAAATTATAATAACTAAGTACACACCATCAAAAACTGAATAAACCTAATTAACACTCATAACTTTCGACTTTTCCTACTACTTTTCAAGACCGGATTTACAGAAGCTCAATAAAATATTTGATTGCGATTAAATTTTTAACACGACATTAAAGAACCACGTGACCAATCAATCAGACGTCGCCAAACGTCTCATTAAATGCGTGATTGATTAAAATGTTTTATAAACTGGTCCTTAGAGTTTTACTCACAAATAATTGAAAGCTAAACAAATTAAAAAAAAATCCAAACCCTATTTTATACTGAAATTGTTTATTGTATTTATTTAACAGATTTCCAAACTTTCTTTAAATGCTTTTTTAGATATAAGAGACATGTTTTGTAATCCCGAAAAAAGACGAATAAATGCAAAATTTAGAAGTTTCTTATTCCGGCAATCATCGTTTTCTACCAACCGCACTTTTTATTGGATTTGAGCTGATTCCTAAAACCGGGTTTTCTTTAAAAGATATTTGAAAGTTGTCAAAAAACTTTCGATCCTGGTGTTCAAATATTTGGCTTAAAGGTGACATATTTCGCGCTTTTTTCTGTTAAATACAAACCATATGTGTTTAAAAAAAATTGACGGATTCATTATTTTCTCAAGAAAGTAGTCTTTAATAACAAGACCTAGAACGAATTTGTAAACTAATGCAATGAAAAAATGAAGTGACCGAGGGTTAGATTTGAACGTCACTGCTTAATCCAAGCTTATTAGCTTCTACGAACATTCGGTAGCATTTTTATAATATGAAGTTCGATATAAAAAAAAAGATAATAGTGCGTAATTTAACTATGTCCTTTAAAAAATATAGCTAATGGTCCAAAAGTTTTCAGATAGAGACAGGGTGATTGATTTACTACTTTTACTACTTACCTATTTCTTTCCAATAAAAGTTAGCTCTCTATCTATAATGCCTTTGGTGCGCGGATCACAGCGTTCCTTTCTTTGAAAACTTTTGGATCATACGGTATAACATGACTTTTCAACATTAACATTTTTGCCGATAAATCTTCAGACGCAAGACTGTAGTTTAACCGTTATCCAGTTGCGAATGAACTTTAATATTTAATTAAGTGTTCACATAATTTAAATTTTAAAATACGGCTTTTGATATAACCGATAAGCTTATATTTCCGTGTTGATACAATAAAATCATAAGCATAGTATAATGCTATGTCCGCGCAAGTCAATAAACAATGTTTACATAAGAGAGAATGGACCATTTTTACTTTCTAGTTTAGTTTTGAATATTTTAATTATACATACATTGTAATAAAAAAAAATCGAATCTGCGACTTTTATTACTATTATGCAGATTTTCCATTCCAGTTAGTTTTATTGTTTTCGTTGAATTATCTGTTCAAAAAAATGTTGTTACATATCAGAACCGATTATGTTAAACTAAATGCAAAAAAAATATAAATAAAACGAATTATAGTTCGCTATGAGACCAATTGTGTAGTTGGTACTACTACATAACAGACACATCGTGGCATTCTATCTGCTAAGAAGTCGTTCACCTGTCACAGTCAAAAATTGAACACGTGCCATAGAATTGAATAAAACCACGTTCCCTCGTCCATCGTTTCACCGTACCGGTAACAGCTGCACAAGAGAAATGTTTTGTGCTCTAATAAAAACAATTTTTTTTTTTTAGAAATCCGAAACACTGTCAACACACAGTAACAAAACGTGATTAGTTAAAGTTGGTGTTAACAATGACTTACGCAAAATTTGAGAGCAAGACCAATTCAATTCATTACATTTCTTGCTAATATTTTCTTCAACTAAGATGTGAATTTAATAGTAATAAGAATGACTCACGAAACTTGGTATAGTGTTAACAAATTGCAAATACCTATCGATATTTGCCGAGCTTCATCAGTCACCCCTTAAATCAATCTTTACGAGAAATTTTATTACTCTGTATTAATGAGTTGTTTTCTTTGCAATTAGGGAAGACCATCAAACATATCAGCCTATGGTCCTCTTCAAGAGAACAAAGCATCACAAAGGATCGATCTACTGCTTAGCATGGTCACCAATCGGCGACTTGATGGCCACCGGCTCCAACGACAAAACCGTCAAATTAATGCGATTCAACGCGGACACATCTAATTTAGAAGGCGAAGAAATCGAATTATCTATGCACGACGGCACCATCCGAGATTTATGCTTCTTAGAAGATACGTCGAATAAATCAAGCCTTTTAATTAGCGGTGGTGCCGGAGATTGTAAGATTTACGTAACCGATTGTGCCACAGGAACTCCATTCCAAGCATTGAGCGGACACACCGGGCACATTTTATCTCTGTACACGTGGGGCGGTGCAATGTTTGTTAGTGGATCACACGATAAGACTGTACGATTCTGGGACTTGCGAACCAGGGGATGTGTTAATATGGTCACACCCTGTACCATACCGGGAACTAGGCAAGGATCACCTGTGGCTAGTCTATGCGTTGATCCATCAGGACGGCTACTTGTGTCTGGTCATGAAGATAGTTCATGCGTTTTGTATGATATTAGGGGCGGAAGGAGTGTTCAGTGCTTTAAACCACATTCGGCGGATGTGAGATCGATTCGGTTTTCACCATCAGCGTACTACTTGCTGTCGGCTGGATATGATAACAAACTCGTCTTAACTGATCTACAAGGTTAGTATATGTTAGTTTTTACAGTGGCTACTACGAAATCTGTTCATTATTCAACTTGTTGCATACTGCCCATTTTCCATGTTGCACGGATCAAAAACAAACAAATTTATTGATGGTATTTGACTAACAAACGAATTTATAATTTGTTGGATTATGGTAAATTGAACACTTTCATCCACATATTGAACTAGAAGAGTAAGGACGGGTGTATAATAAGAAGTATATTTGGAGCAGGCGGTGAAAATTGAATCAATCAGATTGTCATTCTTTCAGTCACATTCATTAATCCATCAATCTTGCTTTACATGACCAATCAGAATGTTAATCCTTCGTGAGACTGTCAATTTGATTTAGCGTGTACTCTCATTAGAGTGTAGAGTTACATAAAAAAAAAATGTATACGTACGTCTAAGAAAAGCCGTCAAGTCAAACGTAAATTATATGTCAACCCGAATGCATTTAAGGTAGTAATGATGAAACGATCCATGCTCTAAAGTATACTCGACTGCCTACTTCTCTCCGAAAATAATTACTCGGTTATAAATAAACGGCAAATAATTCCAAGGCCTACTCCAAATATATTTTTTATTGTACACCCATTAATAACGTAAGGTGACTACAGGGTGTTAATAAATTATTTACATTTACAGTTCCGTGAACACTACTTGACAAAAATTTGCCAAACCGAAAATAGGCTTAGACAATAAATTTATCGTCTTCTTGAGTCCACATTTTTCCGTTCCTATGTAATTTAAAGAAATAAACGTTAAAATTTGTTTCAAAGTTTGACGACTAATTAACAGATTAATTAATTTAGCAAAAATTGAAATGATGCGGCACTTTAATAAATGAATGTCATAGCCCACTGGATGTAAATCATTTATTAACACGCTGTAGTTTTGCTTAACCCTATTTGATAAGCACTCATTTTGCCATGGAATCCACTCTACACAGTTAACAATATACATATACACTCGTAAAAAAAATGTGGTAATTCCTCATTTATGTGTATCAACTGCAACATTCGCCTTTATCTCACAGCGCAAACTTTTAATAGTCGTGAGAAATACTAAATATTGACACCCGTTACGCAATACCCAGTTTCTTTAAGTGTGAAAAAATTCACAAGAGTTTTTTTCTTTTATTTGAAAACTTTTGTATCGTTGGAATTCTTTTTTGACTATAATCTTTCGTTCAAAAATATTTATACAACGTGTTAATGAATGTTTGTAGATCAAACGGGTTATGGAATAGTTGTCGAAAGTGTTGTCCTCAAAATTTGCCGCTTTTTAAAAACAAGGAATTTTCATTAAAAATTGAAATTATTGGTTTGTCGTCTATCGCACAGGCGCCATTTGTTACAATTAATTAGCATAAAGTTTAAAACAGTTGTTTTATAATATTTGTAAGCTCTGCTGTAATTTTGGGATTAAAAAATTAAAATATATTAATATTACTTAATTGCCGTATGAAGCATTAAACTTAAAATATATGCTAATGTATGTTAGATACTCTTCAAAATTTAACTAAATTGTTATTACAATGTTCAGCCAACGCCAATACTCCTAATTTTCAACGACTTTCCCACTAACATGTGAACATATCTTTCATTTTACTACAAAGACATTCTAATCCGTCTCTTTTTATAAATATTCGGAATTACTTCATAATTTATGTTAACGCGGTACTTTGTAATTTCCTGCAACATTCTCCATTTAACAACTAAAAACTGAGTTGTTCAGATATCCAAAATAAATTTAGAGAAATCGAGAGTAGTAAGATCCGGTGAACGAGCTGGAACGTAACATTTGTTCTTCTACATATGTAGTTATGCTTTTGTAAAGTTGTTACTTTCAAACTCAGGAAATTTCGCTAAAAATTCGTTCTTGCAGGAAAAAACTTTTCAAAGACTTCTTTACGGTAATACACCATTACAGTAAAAGTATCTTGCTGTACAGTCTTCATAGCTTGTAATTCCTACGTATTGATCAGAATTACTTTAATAATTTTCTGTACAGATGTTGACGTTTCTAACTTCACATGTATAAAGTAGAGAATACTAAACCTAGAACGCGTAGAATTCGAACAACTGTACCAAAATCTCTAGGTTATCTTATTATTGACAGCATAGATTTGACAGATGTTAGCATTTAGGAACCTTACACATGCTCACCATAAATATACCTCGATGAAGTTGCAACATTTCATCAGGCTCCAAAGCATACTTGGTGAATAAGAATGTACACCGAGTGTCCCAGATAAAACTCGGCGACTTTATATCTTGACAACGGATAAAAATATTGGCATTCAATAAACACCATTGTTTTTGGCTTGAAGGGGGAAGCTACATTTAATACACTGCAAGTGTGCCGTCGACGTCGCTACGCAAACCTATATTTTTTAACGGATTTTGATAAATTAGTAAATTACAATATAACGATTTAAAACACTCATCTGCATTAAATTAGTTTTAACTATATAAAATATAAATCTTCTAAATGAAGAGATATGTTTAGTTGCCAACGATTGTAGTATAAGAAAGTTACGTAGTTACAGTAAATATTATGTACTTTCAAAACTTCATTGTGAATTTCAAAGATTAAGAAAACCTAAATTTTGTAATCACATTTTTAAAACTATTACCATTATTTATTAAATTTGGTAGAAATAATATACTCTCTTTTCGGACGAACAATGGACACGACCGAAATAAATTGACACTATGCACAGACCACTTGATGCCCTCTTTCGTTTGGCATTCGCCTTTACTATATTAATACTGTGAAATATCAACATCACAAAGGTTGGACTACTACAAAATTTCTTTGCTGTCTGTAGAAAATGGTTGAATTTTTTTATTATGAAAATTGGATGGACCAGCACGCAGCCCAGATTTAACGCCTGTGTACAGTTCACAGTTCGAACATTTCCACGGGGCCTACTATAATTTTACATTTGCATTTAATTTGTGATTTATGGTTTTGTGGGTCCAACCTTGATGATTAACTTTGAAATACCAATAAAATTTTACCAAGTACTGTTCAAATGTTGGAACTTTATTTGCGGTATTTGCGTGATTTAGAAGGTTAAAAATTGAATAAGGAATGTCTGTGCCTGGTTTAACATGTAAAACTCTGTTAACCATCACAAGTCGCAGTCATAAAAATTTTTGACTTCACTGTAAAGGGCGACATTTCGAACATATGTTTAAATCACTGTTTTTGAAACAGATCTTACTAGTTGTCTGTAAAATAAAGTGGAGGTACTTTATTTCATTTAACTTCAATTCTTTTATATTGATAAATTTTACTTTTTCATCGACTGGAAGTGAAGTAAATATTAAAATATTGTATTATATCATTGTCAACGTAATTTAATGGTCTGTTGAAAAATACATTAAAACAAAAATGGTCGAAGATTATTTCGACAGAACTTCATTCGCCCCTGAAGTACAATAAAACAAATCCGGCTTTTTCGAAAATTCATAAAATTTGATTAGGCTAATTTTATTTTGATGAGAACCCTTATAAGTTAAAATAAAGATATGTATGTAATGTTAAAGTAAATGTACTGCGCGTACGTTTCCAATGAGTTTCCCTTAACAAAATTTTGGGAGGACGTCATCAACATTTATGCAAAGACATGTATATCACTTTGAGGATAGGTGCAGTGTAATATTAATGATATCAGTATTGTACTTGCAAATTTTCGAGAAAATGGAGTGAGCCATTCCTGATTTACTTAATAAAATAATTCGCCTCATTCATTAATTTTTTTAAGTCACCCTGTATAAATAATTCTTAAAACTATGGGTGCATTGATGAACCACATGTATAGTATAGAGTCATAATATGTTGCATATTTCTAAGAGGATTTATTCAGCAAAATGTTGAGGCGACGTCGTAAATTTTTTTTGGGAGGGTAAAAGGAAAAATTTTTCTTAACGATTTACCATGATCACAGTAACCTTAAAATGTTTAGAAGATTTCAAAGCATTCGGTTTTACAGTTTCAAAGTTAAATTGCAAAATATTGTTACCTATACAATTTTGAATTTTTTTCCAAAAAATTTTGATGTCTGGGGTGAAAATTCGTCACAGATTCACACACCTTAATTGCAGGAGAATCTTATGTTATAAAATTTAAAGAATTACTGTTATAAATTTTGGAGATGGGAATAATTAACCAAATTGTAGCGTTTAACCATCTACATGATATTCCTAATATACAGACAAAATTTGACAACATCGGTCTGGCAGTTTCGGAGATTACGTGTCTAATAAAAATGGATAGAGACCCCAGACGGGCGGACGGAAACGGGAGAATATTTTTTTCGTGCTGCAGAGGTCATACGCGTCGAGAAAATATGAAAGTGGACGGACGGACGGACGGAAACGAGAGAATATTTTTTCGTGCTCCAGAGGTCATACACGTCGAGAAAATATGAAAGTGGTAATTTACTCGATGGACTCGATTACTATACTTCCTTAGCTTACACTCGGGAAGAAAAAATATAGGTTTGCGTTACGAGTCCGACGTCATATTTGTCATATTTGCAATGTATTGAATTAAGCTTCCCACTTCAAGCTAAAACCAGTAGCGTTTATAGAATTTCAATGTCTCTGTATTGAACATTCTGTATAGTAGTTAAACATGATAAATTCAATCCAAATTTTGATGGTTTATTTTACATATGGTAGTACATTTTTTGACAAAATCTCGTTAATAATTGTATGTAAGTATCAGTTTATAGTAATTGTAGGTTTCCACTTTGATTTTTTTTAACAGCGTCTTACGTTTAAAATTACAAATACAATTTTCGTATGATATTTTAACTTAAATGTTTCAATTTTCAGGGTCGAGACACACACTTTTTTTTTAATAAAGGTTAAAAGAATCCATTATTTTTGAACTATAACTTTGTATGTGTACAAATTCCACAAATTATTGGAACAATTTTTATTTGGAAGAAAGAAACTTTAATTTTTTTCTACAGTAGTGCAACATGAAAATTTTAAAGCGTTTGCAAACTAGATCTTCGTAAAGTAAATGAATTTTTATATTAACATAAAGAAAAGGAACTAAAAAGTTGGAAATTTATACCATCAGTAGCCCGAGTTGTAAACCAAAGTTACACTAGTGTCTCCAGTATCTCTATTACATTGTGGCGGATAATGAGTCAATGGTTTCAATAATTCTTAAATAAATTCAAGTCTTTTCCACCTGTTTTGTATTTTCAACATTTATTTTTACTGTCACATAAAACACCCCAAAATTGTTGGGCGGTGCACAGTGCGAGTGACATTCTAATGAGGTTAAACATTTAGTGAATTTTTACATATTTTTTTTGCGATTTCGAAATTAGTAGCAATCATGCGTACTATTTTCGTGCTATCCTTGTCTAATACACATTAAGTTTCTCTCCAAATTCGGGCACAGGTAATTTGCCACACGCTTTAAAAGTAATAAACTAATTTTATATACAGGATGATTTACGAATAGCGATCGTTTTCATAATCGTGTTTATGCAACCCAAAATGCATTCTTATAGGATACTTGGCGAATTATTCATTTAAAAAGTTATCCAATTCTAAAAACCGTTAAATTGATTTTAGTGAGGTTTCAAATGATAATTACTCCGATCCAAAATGTTTACAAACGATGAAAAAACTGGCATGCAGAAAAAATATAAAAGTGTTCCGTTGATCAGAAGCAAAACTACGAGAAAGTCGGACGCCTATTGAAAAAAAAAAAAAAACCGAGAGCTCAAGTTGCTACTAAAACCGAAAATGAAGTGGCAGTCATAAGAGCAATAACTGGATCCACATGCAAATAAGTCAACGGACATTTGGCAGAAATATGGAAATTAGTCAAAAGTTCGGTATCGAGGATTTTGTGTCATAAATTCCATCCGTGCCACATTAATTACATTGGTGCAAAAATCAAAAGAGATTGATTAACCTAAAAGACTTCAATAATGTGCCTTTTATTTCGGGAGCATCTAAGTGTTTTCCAAGTTTTTTAAAATGTGTTTTATTCAGTGACGAATCGTAAGTTTAGTAATAATGGTGGCGTTCACAAACACAATCTTCATTATTTTGCTTATGAAAATCCTGGATGGATTCCTACGAGTTATTTCCAAAACGTCATTTACGTTTGGTGGAGAATTAGAGGAGATAAGTTTATACTTTTTTTGTGGAACATTCATTACAGTGCGTTATTTACAATTTATCCGAGACATGTCTCCAGAATTGTTAGAGGAGTCGGAAATTGACGCAAGATTTAAGATGTTGTTTCAACAAGATGGAGTTCCACCCCATTTACATCGCATTATGCGCAGCTATTTGACCGATAGGTTTGAAGATAGGTGGATTGATAGAGGCGCAGAACGTCCATGACCCCCTCGGCGGCTTGTCATGACCCCGCTAGACTATTTTTTATGGAGAATTAAATGTCACCGAAAACCATGTAAAGCATGCATGTTACATCGTCACACCCGTCTAGAAGTTTGATGCACATTTTGAGCATCTACTGCAATAACTTGTGTGACTTTACCATTGTTTTTACGTATTAATTTTTTTTTTTTTTTTTTGTAAGCTTAATGTGCTCTATTATTAATGATAATTTGGACTTTATTTTTGACACATTTGCTGTTTTTAGAAATTAAATAACTTTGATATTAAAAAATTATACAACTGAATAACTCCCGAAATATCCCGTGGGACTTTATTTTGGGTTGCATAAATACAATTATTAAATCGGACTCAATTCCTAAATCACCCTGTAATTGTTACATTGTCACGTAGTGCCCCATATCTTAGATTAAGTTACGTTTTGCAAACAAACAAAAACATTTTTCGATTTAACTGTGTGTAAAACTGCAACTAAAAAACGGACTTCTTTAGAGAAAAGTGATCATGAAAAATTTCTAGCCCATGCAATATTTTCATATACAAGAAGAAACCCAAAAATAACAATACCGTTATCACAAAAATATTTTGTAGTTTTCGAAATTTGTAATATAATTATCTTTTTTTCAGGAGATCTGACGTTACCTCTTCCAAGTGTAGTGGTTGCACAACATCAGGACAAAGTCATTTCTGGTCGCTGGCATCCATCAGAATTTTCATTTTTATCAACATCAGCTGATAAAACTGCAACGCTTTGGGCGTTACCGCCAATGTAGATTTGTTTATAAGTGTTTAAAAGTCTGAATTAACTAATACTCATTATTTATGGTTGCACATATTGTATTACTTTACTTAATGTTAAATTTGAAACATACCAATCATAACAAATTGATTTAGTAAAATACTTTAATCTTCTCCACATCTAGAAACATCGCTTTTGAGTAACCACTGATATAATCATTAAACTTACCCATGTGTTCTAATTATATGCCAAACTCGTAAGTTGTTAATAAATAAGGATATGTAATTATAAACACTGATAATCATGAAAACAAAAAATGCTTGTATTATACAACATTATTTCTATCTGTTGTAGTTATGTGCATTTGAAAAGTAATGTAAAATCATGACCAAGCATTTTTTTCAGTAAAAAGAACTTGTGTCAATTATTTGTAACTTCCTGTTACTCAAAAACGATGTGTTTATATCTGCAGTAATAACGGTTTTAACTATGTTTAAAACCCTAACATTTAACACGCTTATGTCAGAGATATCAGTGATGAGGAACATACTAATTTTTCGTAAAAGAAAAAAACAGATTGTATTAAATGTTTAGTATAGCCTGGAAGCTGCCTAGATCCAGACTTTGGCGCTTTTATTTTAAATAAATAGCAATCTAGTAAATGCACAATTATGTTTTGGCTGTAAATGTACTGTTTTATAATATGCTTTTTTAAGTTCAATCTGTTTTGTTGTGTTTCTTATGATTTGGATTTAAGCGATGAATATTGTATATAATACCTTTTAAAGCTTTGTATAAATCATTATTGTAAAATTCAGTATTTATGTTATATATTTAATATTTAAAAAGAAAATACAATATTGTTTTTTAATTGTATATCATCTACGCGAATTGTTATTAATTTTACATTAATAAAATTGTCTAATGTTATTAGGTTTTTTTTTTTGCTTTTCGGGAGGGAGGGGTTTATATTTTTGATGGACAATCAATAAACTGTCGACAGCTGCATTATCATTTTCTTGAACTGAAACTAATCCTATTTACATCCAAATCGGGCTTTACCTGTGGCTATAAACACCAGAAACTTTGGATCTTGTGATAAACGAAAAGATGAATGAGTGAATTTCTGTGCCACATGCTTTATATGGACATTTTACATGATTAACCGTTAAAATATGAAGTATGAAGTGACAAATAAGAAAATAAAAACACATGTTGACGCCAGTGTCAGTCTTACACATTTCAAGTTAGAAATCCACTAATTACACACATTGAGAGGGTTTGTGGCGTCGAATGTGATTCGTTTTTGTTTAAATAATTGCTCCTTTTTTGAAATTACAAACTAAATTTAAGCTACGCTTATTTATTTGAGCCACGTGTTTACACTTAGACATTAAGTGACGCGGACGGGTCCAAAAAGAAAGTGAGAACTGAGTGTTCTCCACAGAAATTGACCTACCACACATTCCAACCCTCTACCCTACCAAATCGAGGGCAACGTGACTCTGAAAATTTAAGGCTGCATATATTTGAAGGATTTTTCTTATTTTTAAATTTTCAAATGCCGTTCGCGCCCTTGTTTTTTTTTTTTGTTCCTTAACGAAAAATTTAAATTTCAAAATACACGACAACGCAATGTATTTTAACTTAGTTTATAAAAGTTTGTTAGGAGTGTATTTATGACATGAACCATGTGCACATGTAATAACTTACGTAAGTATATTTCTAATTTTGGTCCTGTGCAAAAAAAATGTCGGAAGTAGTTAGAAACTTATTCTTATTACATATTGAAAAACGTGCAATTACTCTTCGTGTCATTATATTTTCAAACTTTTAATACCAATAAAAAATATGGACATCAATAAGCTCAGAAATTTCTAAATTCGATACAATAACTTCGCTAACAAAAGTATACTTCTAATAATTCTTTAGATAAAGTAACTAACATGATAACTTGCCTTTGATAGCTTGAGGTAAACAACACTGGAAGAAAATACCACTTTGCCATGATCACATACCTATGAAGTTGAAACGAAAAATGTAATTTAGAGTATTGTAAATCAAAAGTAAATAAATTTCGAACGGGAAAGGTACGATTACACGTAAAATTCAACTGAAACACAATAAAGAAAATGAAAAAAAGTTTTTTACTTGACCAGGTATAACGCGAAGAAATTGTTTTACTAAAGTTAACTACTCCTAAAAAATAGACTAGCCAGCTTAAATTTATATCAGACCTTAACGAAGAACTTTTTAAACAATTATGTATGAAAAAAAATTTTTTTACGAGCCCAAAAACAGTGAGTGCGCGGTGGTTTTTGATGAATTGTGGATTTTTTTGAAGAATACAAGAAGGAGATGTTTAGAGAGAAATTCTCTTTTAGCAAAATAGGCAGTGGCCATTTGATTGATGAGTTAAATATGAAGGTGTAAAACAGATTGTTATTACAATTAATAGACGAAATTTTGTGACGGAAATAAATACAAAAATACATTCAATAACAGTAAAAAAGGATTTCTCCACATACCATTTTGCTTTCGGTTAAAATTTTACGTACATGGCGTCTAAAAGTTCATTTTGAACAGTTTTAGGCGTTCCTTTAAAATGATTTGATAAAGCAGAGTCCAATTCAGTCGTAAAATCAATCAGACCTCGAATTAATATACCTAGATTTTGTGATTCCCTACTTTCGTCAAGTCCACGTAAACCAAGTTCAAACACTCCACAAAATTTTATGCACATTATCAATCGACCTAATATATTGCGATTTTTGTCGAGCCTTGCTCGAATATTATTAATATAGGTGCTGTGTAGTTGTTTCCGAATGTCTGTATTACCGGGAAGATTATCCAAGAATATTTATCATACGTGTTCGCGCAGAATGAAAATTAAAACCGGCGATAGTAACTCAATCTTCCTGAGCACGGTCGGAACGGGACCCCAGTCCATTTGTATCAGGCGCATATCAGGCGGCTATGACGTGTGATTTCCATGGCAACGGTGTAAACAAAACATCTAAATCAGCTATGATTCGGTCTCTGTGCCCGGTTTTTATCAGCAATAACATATCTTGAACATAGCATATATCCAAGACATACATCTTTAGATGTAAGTGGATGTAAGTTTTGATACATTTTATACAACTGGAGTGACATAAAAAAATTAATTTTGATAATTATGACACAAATTTCCGGATAATTTTTTAAATATTGAAAATTACTGTTTTACCATGTCCAGTGTGTTTGTAGACGTTGTAATTTTGGGGGGGCACGTACCTTTGTGCCCCCCGGCACAGCCCCTCCTGAAAATAGGTATTACTTTTTTTTATGTACATCAAGGTTCTTCAGCTAAGATGACCCATTTGAGATTTTTTAGAGCGGGAGCAAAAATACCGTTTACAGTTGTTTCTAGATTTCAATACATATTTTAAAATTAATTTGTATGCGACTTTATTATCAGTGAAGTGTATTCTTAAAAAAATATAATTAATTCGGTACCTACTGGATGATTTTAAGTCAAAGCATTTATTTGTGTTATGAAATGTACATTGCGCCATATTTTCGCACCCCCTGCACGATAAAAGAAATAAATAAAACATTTATAAATCTGTTCCACTTTTCCAGTGTTTATTGATTTCTTCGAGATAAAACTTGCGTCGAGCTGAAACTTACAAATATCGAGAATCGGGTCGGGAGTTCAAAGAGTAAATTTTAAAACACAAAAAATATTTTAAGTGGAATGTTGAACAAAACTGTTGACACCATAACGACTTTTTTTTTCGGAAGAGGCTTATTTATTTAAATACAGGGTGATTCGATCTAAATGGCCCAAGTGGCAACCCAAAATAGATTATTCATTTATTCCTTGATTAACACCAGAATTCCAAAAATATCACAAATCTACGAAGTCTGTGGTTTTAAAAACATCAACACAAAGTGTTCCTGTAACGCATTATATTTAAAATAAAAGTTGCTGAAAAAAATTTTCTGAAAATGAGTTTCACGAATCTATTGTGGATTTTTTTGTGCATGATGTAATTGAGTTGTTTATAGTGTCATTGTTGGAAAATTTAGATTCATCACTAAATAAAATATTCTTGATAAAATTGAGATCAGCAGCTCTTCCCGAACTAAATTGCAAAATGCTAATATTCTTGTAGTTTATGAACACAGTTCATGAACCAACTGCATATGATACGGATGAACGGATGGAACTTGTTAGTCTTTAATATCCGACAAATTCTCTATTGACACATGACGTATAAATTAGCAAAAAAAAGAAAACAAATAAACGCATAATTAAATTTAATTTAACAAAATAACAGAAACAGCGACAATTTGAGAGACAGCTGTAAGAGTTAAAGATACAGCTGCAAGTTATTTAGTCGAAATTCCCTCGACTCTGTAGCAGGCAAATTCCAGCAATTCATCATTCATGAATAAAAATTGATTTAGTAATTTCTATTAAGCACAGGTACATCACATTTAAAATACGAAATGCAACGGTATCATTATTACGTTACTTTGTTTTGTGTTATTTATTACAGTTTTTGAAATATTAAAAAATAACTATACTCGTTTCGTGGAAACTGAAAATATGTATTCGATTTACAAATTCATTTTTGGACAATATCTACAGGCAATGACAAAAACCAAAAGCATATTTCATGAATAATCAAAATTACATTTCAGCGTAGTTAATGATTAACTGATTAGAAAAGAATTCTTATTGTAACACGTCGATAACGATTCGTTCAGTTTGTACCAAAGAAATACGTAATAGGTAATGACAGTTCCAAGGCAACTCAGCTGCAACAACCAAGAAAACCATGTGCTTTGTAGGTAGCAATGCTAATAAATTAACGATGGTAGAAAGTAATTTTGATAAAATAGCAAATTTAAAAAACGCGTAACTTTCCTGTTTTTAAGAAGCGGTCATAGTTGTACTAGAACTTTTTATGTATATCTTTCCATATAGGTACTTTGCTATTAAAATTATGCGGAATTGCTCTGACTAACCCTGTATATTTAATAAATATTTATTGGACCAATTTTTGAGGCGATGGCATCAACTTTGTAAACGGAACGAATGCATCGATTTTAAACATTATACCATATAACTATTAAACCAATATGCATTATCTAGATTCTAAGACAAATTGTAAAATGTTGTTGTACAAATGTACCTTTTACAGTACCCTAACTCGTAGGTACAAGATAAAAAAAAAAGCCGTCAAGCCACAGATAAAGAAATACCTCACAATATATTTTTGAACTGGTGCACAATTTTGAGTTTATGTTATCAAAAAGGGCGAATAGACAAAACTTAATTTTGATACAGTCAAACCTGTCTATGCCGGACTCTGTAAAAGGCGGAAAACTGCTCATGGCGGAACTTTCCGCAGTCCCGGTTTTTAAAATATCCAATTTAATGTATTTTGGTCCGCATAACGCGGAAGCTGTATAACGCGAAACGAAAAATATTTGCAAGTACCAGCGTATCAAAATACATGCACCCAACTCTGTGTAAGACGTAATCTTGAACAAAATTGATGATTTCTGTAAAAAACATGTAATTCAATTCGTAGACCTGCAGGTGGACTTTTTGTCAATTATAATATAACAAGTGATATGATTATTATCGATAATATTTCGAGTGAAACCGAGCTGCAGATTCAACGAGTGCGAAGCACGAGTTGAATGTGCTGCTTCGGTTTCACGAGCCATATCTTCGATTATTAATCATATCACGAGTTATATTCAACATGAGAATATAATAAATGAACACATTTTTTGATAATAGAATTGATTTCGTCGTTTTGAGCTTGCCCCCAACGTTGGCAAGCCATAATAGATAAAAAAATTTATGAAATTCTAAAATTTGTCAATTTGACAGTTTTTAAATTTAGGTAGCAACAGACCACAATAAG